ATAAACTTTTTGTTAAAGAAGGGTGTGGGTGTAGGTGTGACTGACGTAAAGATGTAAACACCCACTGGCCCACACCCTCAGGTCCATTAGGCTTAGCCCACATAGTGAAACTATTAAAACTGGCGACAACTAATATAAAATTGTCGTTTTTTTCATGCTTTTGTTAGGGCTCAAATTTCTATTGTTCATGGTATTTTATAATCATGCATTTATCGAATTAAACCTGTATACATCTATAGTCAAGGGAGAAAAAGCAGACTCCAACTTGGAGTCTGCTGTTTCTCCCTTGACTATAGTGCACAACCTCTGCGGCATGTGCATATAATCATGTCTTGTATTTATGTGAGCGATAAAAGTATTGGAATCAACAAAAAAGATAAATATGATTTAACATTAACTATTGAGCAATAAGAAAACTTTATTTGAAAAGTTTTATAATATTAAATGAGCAAAAAATAGCTTATTATATAGCAATATTAATTTCATATTTGAGCAGCAAAAAAGAGAAAACCTACATTATTGTTATTTACAATTGAGAAGAAAAAAAGAAAAATGAAATATATACAAGTAATTATTGTACCAATAAAGCTTTTTTTATTTTCGATGATCTGCCTCTTTTTCTTTTTGTACCGATTTCCACATTTTTTGCCTTAGATGGAGGTTTGCAATATTTGAATCTAATGGACATACCCATAGTGTGCTTGCATATATAATTTTTCATGAATGCTGGACAGGTGCATATTGCTTCTTTCCATTGTTCGATAAACATACACACAATATGTTAAAGCAGACGAACTTGTACGTGTCATACGAGTTAAATCTACAAGTTTCATATCGTTTTATTTCTTTATTTGTTATTGTAGCTTTTGTGAAACACGACCTGAAAGGAGTGTTGAAGTGTTTAAGGTAGAAATTTTGCACCTAGCCCTCACCCCCCCCCTCCCCCAGACCGTTACCGATTGGTGATTTATCCATCACAGAGCGCTACAGAGGTGCTTTATCGAAGTCGAACGGAAAGCAATGTTGAGGTATTTAGGATACACAGCTGAATTCGTTCCACATATATTTTAATTGATGAATTAGCTAAATACGGTATAATTAGTTGATTACCTATAACAGACCCTAACAGATAGAGCAGTCATCCTATTCCGCAATGTTGAACATTTCAGAACCAGTTCCGACCCCCGGAATCAGTTCCGTCGATTCCGGAATTAGATCAATACGGAATCGTTGGGAATTAGACGGAATTCCGTACCGGAATTGCATGGTGTGGGTGCACTGAATTACGGAACCGTTGGGAATTAGGCGGAATCCGTAGGAATTCCTTGTAATTTCGGAATTGTGTTGAAAGTGATAAACGGAATTTCGGGAATTAGATGGAATTGGTTCCGGAATGTTCAACATTGCGGAATAGGATGTATTCTCAACAGATAGGCGTTGGAACCGTCACAGACGGGTTAGTAAATTCAACGTGGATAGCGAGGAGCACTTATGATATACTTTGATGAATATTAGTGGACGTCTTTGTACAGTCAAGGAACACATAATGCTACAATATCAGCAAATTTATGACCTACTTGCATTTTTCACTTGTAGGTGGTGCATTAAAGTATCATAAAAGAAAAAGTTCAGAAATATATAGAATACTTTGTTGTTCTGGTCAGAATTAACATTTACATCGTGTTTCACATTTTAATCCATAAGGGATTGCGCTAACAGCTTTTTCATCAGCAGACAAATAATATATCGTTGTATCACCATTGAAAATAGATATAACGTCTTTATTCAGCTTAACCCAATTGTATGCATCAGTCCAATATGATAATATTATTGATGGTTGATGTTCGAAGAGTTTTGAACTGATAAGAGTAGGATTTCGTTCTTTGAACCAACTTGATTAATAGCGTCATCTTTAATAAAGATTCTTTATTATTGTATGTACATAATGGAATCCACTTTCTCAGGTTTTCCTTGTTTTTTTAAACTGCGTCAGTGTTGCTAGAAGGTTGAGTTTGCATGTCAATGTCATTTTCAGAATCAGAATTATAGTGTGCTACGTGTTGCGATTGAATCATTTGTATAAATTACATATAGTATTTCATCAAGGTGAGCAAACACTTATTGTTGCAAATAAACGAATTATTATTGCCCTTTTCGTATAAATTTTATGTTGTATTTAAATTAATTACTGCTCATTCTGTATGATTATTCCTCATTCGGTATAATTATCGCTTATTCATTATATATATATATCGCTCATGCAATATATTTATTGCTAAATTTGAATATTGCTCATTTCAACTATTTTATTGCTCAATTAATTATAAGTCTATAATCATAATAAGTTAATATTGTGTACTTTTAATACAAGACTTAAAAATAAAAAGTAGTGCAAGGCCGTTGATATTGACTGTATTATATTATATTTCATTGAGAGAGAACCATGAAGGATTCTCAATTAGAAAAGAAAATCAAAATCGAATGAGCTCTTCATTGTTCGTGACTGAGAGAGTTTTGTAGCACAATAGGTCAAGCAATAGATGACACTTTATTTTGTCTATTTCTGATAGGTATTGTTTATTTTCTCACTTTGATTCGTCAAAAATAACAATCGTTGTCTTTCATATGATACCTTTCTGACGTAGACTATCTCTTCTAGAATTGAATGTCAACGCATGAAACTGTCACCTAGTGGACAATCGAATTCACAGTCAACAGTTGTTTCAAGCAGAACATTATCAGCCAGCGAAAACCTCATCAACGAGATGAATGTAAGAAACGCCTACACAATTTGAAAACATAAGATGAATATTCGATTTTTTTCAAGTCTTACTGGATTGCAACCATTTCCATCGCACACCTCCGCAGAACTTTTTCATTGACTTTGACACGGGCTCATCCGATCTGTGGATACCATCAATCAATTGTCCATCATCATGTGGTAAGTTTATTTATAAACCTCGCATGAGAAACCATCCTATGTTTGAATCTCAGAATTTAAGCTTCTCTGTAAAACGGACAGTATAGCATGCCAACAGAGAATTCTTATGTATTTTATCATCCAAAAAATAGGATATCACGATTTTCACTAATTCCACGGCGAATATGACTTATTGTTCAACGTTTTCTTAAGGAAACCATAGTCATTAAAATGCAAACGCGTCCAGTTCATACCGAGCCAACGGTGCCCATTTCTTTACAAGTTATGGCGATGGTTCTTATGCAGGCGTTCATTTCGACAACGATACTGTGACCGTAAGTCGATGTAAAGCTAAAATACTTCATCTTATTCAAGTATAATCAGGTGGCTGGTGTCTCAGTGGTAAATCAAGTGTTTGCTGAAGCAGTCAATATGTCAGGCTTCAATGGCGCCATGGATGGTTTGTTGGGATTAGCCTATCAGAACTTGGCTGTTGGTCACGAAGCACCCGTGTTCTACAACATGTGGGCACAAGGTTTGATTCCATTTCCCGTATTCAGCTTCTATTTTAATCCGTAAGTAGATGAAGAACTCATTTTATTATTTGAATCGGTCACTGTAACGCGATGTACAGATGTCTTCTCTTTGAAATTATGCGTATCAGAAGTTAGAACAATTTTAGCCTGCCACAACAAAGTAAGATGATCGTAAACAAGCACCCTTCTTGTTCAACTCACGAGGTACCATTTAGTTTCGAAATTAAGTTTTTTTTATCACATACACTGTAAAAAAAATCCGTAGAATACTAAACCCAAAACGGGTTGATGAAAATGCAACGTATAATAAACCCATTTTCCGTTTCTGAAAATTTTCATAAACCCTTTAAGGGTTTATGATTATGTGGAAAATACCCTTTAGAGTTTATGAAAATTTTCAGAAACGGAAAAAGGGTTTATTATACGTTGCATTTTCATCAACCCTTTTTGGGTTTAGTATTCTACGAATTTTTTTTACAGTGTACGGTCTGTTGCAACTAGAAAAACTGAAGCTTGTCGTGCTTTTGGACTTAGTTTGTCGATCTATGACCGAATTCTTAAAGTTTTTTCTATTGATGAATGGTATGTTTAAAACTCCGAGCAAAATAATTTCGATTTGAAATGTTTCTCATGGAAAAATCTCATGATTCAATGAAGACGAATGTTCGTCTCCTGAGACATGTATGTTTTTAATAAATTTTGAATTCTTGATACAATGTCTAAAATATGATTGTTTTCATTGGAAATATGAATTTGTATCAAGGGGGAAACGGCGGACTTTTGGACTTGAAATTACTTTGAGCTACTTTAAGCTACTTCAAGTTACTTTCAGCTACCTGGAGTAGCTTACTTTGAAGCACTTTTCAACTTTAAATTTACCCGAAGTTACTTGAAGTTACTTCAAGCTACTTCTTCCTACTTTGGACTACTTGGTGGTACTATGAGCTACTTCAAGTAGTCTACTTTGACGTACTTTGCCGTACTTTTCTACTTCAAGTCCGTCGTTTCCCCCTTGATTTGTATTCACAGAAATGTTGGATATTCCAACGATTATGAATCCTATCTGTGGGCAACATGTGGCTGCTTTTTCAATTTTTGCCATACGAATCAAATGAAATTTATACGATTTCAACTGTAGACTTTTGTTTCTTTTTTTTCAAAACACAAGCAACGAATGTTTGCATATTCCACGTTTTTTTGATTCAGATGTCTTATATAAGTGACGGAGTGCAATCAGGATCCAACTGCTTCGTGATCTACGGACATAATGAGAGGATTAATAAATTCAAGTGAGCTCAAATTACTGCTAATTCACTGAAGCGAAAGCCATGCTTAAACGATGCATCGCGACCCACTTCTTGGATCGTACTGAAATGTAATGTAGCATATATTGTAGAGATTGCCACGATTTATTTCTAATGCGATCCGTAATTGCCACCATTGTGTCGTGTTTTGGAGATATTCTTTTTCTGTACGGTGATTTATTTGTTATTTAATTGGAATCACAACTATTCATTTTCGAGGTTGAAAACACTCTACTTATCATGTTTAGAAATTCTACAGTAGTTCCTGGTGGCGAGTTGATCTTGGGCGGTGTAGACACAAGCAAATACAGTGGGTCAATCACATATGTCCATGTTACCGTACAAGGCTACTGGCAATTTCTTTTAGACAGGTATAGGGAGAAAACTAAAATTCGAATACTAATTGATCCATTGTGTTCTCTTCATTGTAGTGTCACTGTCTGTGGAACCTCGATATGTTCGTCTAACTGCAATGCCATTGCGGACACAGGAATAACTTTGATTCTTGGTCCAGCTAATCAAATAGCTGCACTCAATGCGGCGCTGGGTGCTGTCTACGATCCTACTACGGGATTCGTGAGTGAAATTTATGCTTCAAGCACATAAACTAAACCAATCCGTGTGTATTTTATTAGTATGTAGTCGACTGTTCCACCCGCACTAAACAGTCTTTCCCCAATGTTACCTTTACTATTAGAACATATTCAAGAAAGTCGTCCTTACTTCTATACCACTTGTGTGGGTAATGTGTCATCTTACGTAATTTCTTACATTTTATTTTAAGGAAGAAAACACATGCAACAATGACACTGTAGATAAATCCCTTCTCGATCTTACTTCGTTGTTTAAAGTCGTTCTTGATTATCTGTATTGTGTTTTAACACTTGTTTAATAAAAAAACTGAAAGAAGAAACTAATACACTCCTAAATCGATGAAGTAGGTAAGAATTTATAAAAATAACAAACTCATACAACTTAAGTGACATTCATTGGAGAACGAAAACAGTGTGCCCATGCTTTCCGCCATTTCTTCGTACTCATAGTAATTCTTATACATCGATCAGAAGAGAAGGAGCATAATTCTGGACTCTTGAAGTAAGTAGTCGTCCAACATTATCTGATGATCCCGCAAAAATACTTTGAAATAGCATGTAATTCTAAAGAATCAGTAGAACACTATGGATTACAAGAAATCAATGATTATACGTTTCTGCATAGCAAAAAGGAGACAGAATTGATCGTTATGGAATATACCCATTTTATTCTTCGTACACTGTACATATGGCCATACAATCACATCGTTTGTTTAATTACCAAAACAGAGTGCAACCTAGCAATTAGAAGAAGTCGAAACAGCATAATAGAATATATAAATTTATTACTATAAATAACATTCAATTTTTCGTTGTCTCTCGAGCAATGTGTAAAAGATTTCTAGGCAACTTGCTTTCTATTGATAATGGAATGGAAAGTCAAAAAAAAATCCAAAAATTGAATTCTTTTTTAAATTGAAATCTTCCTGAGAATCTGGAAGAAAACTCATATCAAAAGTTGAGACTTCACCGGCTTTGAGATCATTTCATGAATTCAAAATCATTTCGGTTTATGCAGTCAGTGACGCAGCCAAATTCGTGCTTGGCATGCACAATTTCATGGCCCAGACAGACAAAAAACTTTAACCTATTGCTCATGATATCAATTTAATTCAGAAGATTAATAATAATTGTTGATTGAAATTGTTCTTCTAAGAATTTTAGCTATTGTTCAGATCTTACAGTCTTTATTAAGCAACGATTGCTAGAAAAAGATCAGCAATCTGAATTTCATTAAGTCACACTGATTGGATACACTCTTTTACACTCTGTGCAATTTCTTTAGAATTGCACCGAATAATTACATAAGATATGAAAGAATCTCAACTTCTCATTTGAATCATGCCTTCCGTTTCTTTTCATGACAGACGTTCTTGTCGATAGTGCCCTTGGTGGTCAAGCGTTTACACTATCTGTGCTACAGTACTTTATAATATTGAGCAGCGGTCAGAATTTCCTCTGCTACAGTGTTTTCGGTCTCTCACCAGCAAGTAACCTTTGGATTCTTGGTGATTATTTTCTCTCACGATTTTACTCGGCTTACGATATTGGTCAGAACCAAGTTGGATTTGCCATGTCGGTCTCGTACAATTATACACCTTATATAAATCCACAGACGTTTCAAAATAGTGCAGCCAATACGTCTACATCGTGAGCATCTGATCACATATTTGTTTCATAGAATTAGCAACCTTTTCATTTTCAAATGATAATGAACACATCCGGTGAAGGAGTACCGATCCTAGAAGCGAACGGAGTCAGTTGTAAACTGAATAACTTTAGAATGGAAGCACCAAATGATCTGTAGTTTGTCTACTGGAAATAGGAGACTTCGGGACGTCTTTTCATGTAAAATAGCAATGGAGATTAGTGACAAGAATGAGGCTAGTCACGAATAATTTTTCACAAAGTACCTTGAAAAAGTATCGCATTCCGATCAATTTCAACTTTTCATGTGTCTATTCGGTCGACAAGATTCAAATTTAGAGTACAAATCATTGCTCATGTTTTAACTTGCTTGTATTTTTTTCACGAGACAAATAGCATTGAGTTAGTACATGGTCAATTAATGGATCATTCTTTCAAATAAAAGAATCCGAATATGAGCGTATGAGCATGGAACAAATGATCAAAATATTGTTGTCTTAACCTGGTAATACGATCTATGAATGGGCCAGAGATGGAACAGTGCAGTTTGTCCGATATAAGGATGAAAGCGAATGAAAACTGAGAACTGAGTAATACACTAAATTTGAATTCCGTCAATCAAATATATGCAAGAAAGTCAAAAATCGACCGGGTGCCATATCTTCTGAAGGTGCTTTTTGAAAATATATCCTGAGTGATCTCTTTCTTATCTTTAGTTCTCATCGTATCTTACTTGAGCAGACGTTCTCCAGTTTCCATTTCATGTAATGAAAACTACAGATGTTTACTTACTTTCATTCGAGCATGATGAAGCTTACAAATGATATCATCCACTTTTGGTGTCTAACTCAATGTGCACTCTATTTTTCGAAGTATCCATAAATCAGATATGGAAGTATAAAATTGATCTGTTGTAGGTGTGCTTCCGGCCAGTCAGCTTCATCATCACCACAAGCAACTCGTCATGAATTTAATCTGATTTTTTTGCTCTGTTGGGCAGCATCAATCTTACAACTTCTTCGAGAACGACTTATGGCTTGACAAGGCGTTTAGAAATGTTGACTTCACATATTTTATGAAAACAGAGGCATACAGTAAACAAGAATTTTCAATAAAAATTGTACCAAATACCGCAATTTCATCGACGAATCCATTTCTGAGTGATTGATGCTTATAACTTGTACCATTATAAAGAGGACGGGACAGTGATTGATCGAGATTTTAATTCCTCATTATAGCTTTGAATGAGTTTCTGTTCTCATTCACGAATTCATTCAATATAAGAATTGTCACGAGCGTCTCCTTTTGTCGTAACAGAAGATTCGATAATGACCGCTGGCTTCGAGCTCGACAAATGATTCAGAGTGTTCTCAGCGTTGCCACTATGTTGTCATTCACATTCCGAGTAATCACAGGCTTTACACACTGAAACATAATGTGTTGTAATTTGGAACACGTTGTGCCGCTGGACTGTACGACGCACGTCACTGTAATACATGTGACACATTCACTGAAAACGTGTCAAACCGAAGTTCTATTACACTTGGGAACTTTCTCTTTGAATGTTGATATTACTGTTTTTAAAGTTGCTAGGAAAGGGTATTAATGCTCTCCAAGAAAAAGCTTGCTGGCGCAGTCACTATGGAGCTGAAATATGGAGCTCACATAGATTTGTAAACATGATTATGCTAATACAAAACATGCACAGTGAAAACTATATGCATTCGCTGTTGCTGATTTCAGTAATGCGAAGGGAGTCGTTACCATGTGCCTGTAACGGAAAGAGTTGGGGAACCACAGAAATCTCACCTTACATCTTTCGCTCACTGTTTTCTTCGAAAATATATAATCATTTAAACGGTATTTTAAAATATAATGAATTCCTTTATTACAGATTCAGAATTAGAATAATAATCATGATGAACGTTTATAATAAAGTTTATAAAACATAATAAATCATTATTGAGTTAGTTACACACTTAATATTAGTGGTGATAAGTTATTGTTATCAATAAGAAATAACTTTGTTTCCTAAAAACTCAGCTCATTCTTTATATTAATTATATGCGAATTAGCACTTTAGAAGTTAAACATTTGTTCTAAAGCATAAGCTCATATAACGGATACAATTAAAATATACAGCGAGCTGAGACAGGATTTTTTTCAGAAAAAAAGTTATTTGTTATTAATAATAATAATAACAAATTCACACCCCTACTTAATATGTAGGATGTGGGTGTGGGTGTCATTGGTGGAAAGGAATATAGACACCCACACCCTCCGAAATGGGAGTTAGACGATTTAGCTTGTAATATGACCTTCTCCTTTATTGCCAAATGTTGAGACGGCATAAGAGTTTTATTTCAAAACATCGTTTGGATCATATAGAAGTAAAAATCTATTTTTATACTTCAACTGGGTAATAAAGAAGATGCTTATCATAAAAGAACAGCAATTGAGACTAAACGGCAATTGTGTTTGATATATAAGCATATACAACTTCAAGTTTTGTAAAGCTAGAACTTTCTATTTAATCATGATTATATCATTCATTTTTACGTTGATTTCATCTTGAAAAGCAATATCAGTAAGTACTTTTACAATGCTCTGCTTTTCTAAATACCTTTTTTCTCTCATGTTTTCAATATTAGAATATATGCCACTGTTACTGCTAAGCAGCAATTCAGGGTTGTGCTGGAGAATAAAATATGAGTTTAGCACAGAACTAGGAATACACCAAAACAAAATCACTTGGTTTTGAGGTTTTAGTTTCGATAAGGTATTCATTTTTTTATGGTTTTGGAATTGAAGGTACTGGTTTTGGCCGAGTTTTGAGTTTTGGTTTGGTTTTGAGGTACTCATAAAAAAAATTGATGCTTAAAAACAGACCTCTAATGCTTTTCTATAGACTTAAGCATATTCGCTCGCTTGAGATACACTTGTAAACAATATTGCGGATCTGTAAATAGCAGATAACTAGTAGGAATTATAAGTTGATAATGAAAAGGATGGTTTTCATGAACTTGAGGGTGTGGGTGAGAATTGAGAAGATGGTAACCTCATCCACATCCTCAAGGAAGAGGAAAGGGAAAAGGAGATAGACGAGAGAGGATAGCGTATTCACGAGGTGATTTCTCGGTTAGTTGAGTTATATTCAATCTAGCAATAGCTTGTGCCTTCTCTGTGTAACGCGTTCAAGCATATTAGTTTTATCTTGTGTACTTAAAGTATCGTTTACCTCTCTTCTCTTCAATAAAGGAACTCAACTCTCGTATACGAAAGATTGGGAGTTAATCATTTCTCTTTTACACCTCCCATCGCACTCAACAATTTTTCGTTACAGTTTCGAGTTTAACTCTTGAGAAA